AGAATTTCCTAATATAGCATCTTCATACTCATTGTTTTCTGTTTCGGTTCTTCTTCCTTCATCATTTGCTTCTCTCTCATTAAAGTGTTCCATTTCATCATCTTCATCTTCATTTTTTGAATCTAAGCCCACGATGACTAAATTTTTATTATTTGTTTGATTACTCTCATGCCATTCTTTTAATAATTCATATCCAATCTTATTCTCATCAAATTTAACATCGCAATCACTTCTAATCTTGCTTGTTTCCGGGATATATACTCGATAAATATTATTTGCTGAATAACCCACACGGAACATGACAATGGAAATTATGTCAGCAGGTTTTGTAATATTTCTGACAGCAAATTTGACAGCAGATCAGTAGCAGAAACCGAGCAGAATTTGCACAAAATTATCATAGCAGATTGGCAGCAGAAACTGAGCAGGATCTGCACAATGCAGTTTAATGTCAGATTGTCAGCAAAAATCGAGTAAGGTCTGCGCGCGCGCAATCTGACAGCAAATGAGCAGCAGAAACCGAGCAACGTCTGCAACTTTTAGCCATTTATATAAGTAGTGTATCTAGGCCGGTTCTAACACAGGTCCTCTGAGGGGGGTGAGGGGCGAGGGGAAACCAGCGCGGGGGGTATGACGTCACGCGAGAGAAGGGGGGTATGATGTCACGCGGGAATCGCGTCCTAACCAATAGGCGAGGGGTTCAACCTAACCTTGCGATCGGTTGAACCAAGCTCCGTTAGCGAGATACACGGGGGTCCAAAGAAGGACGAAGAAGACGGTACGAGAGATCATCCGAGGGCATGCGGCCGAAAGACGGAGAACCAGAAGGACGTGAGGAGGATTCTGGAGCACCGGCGAAGAGTGTCCTGAGAAGGAGCATGTGCTAAAGACATTCGAATTTAGAGTATAAAATAGAATTTAAAGTTTTCTTGTATTTAAAACGTTAGTTAGAATTAGAATTGCGAATTGTAAGAGTCAGAGCGTAGAACGCCAGAAAAATAGCATAGGGAATTATAGAGTCAAGGAGTACCTGTCGTTATTCGTTATTGGAGTCAGTTCAGTAAAAAGTTTAATATTCCAAGGTGTTAAAGATAATATAAAGAGTCCTGCTGACAAGAGCTTCGTCAAATAGTAGGAAGTCTATTTATGTATGTTATTCAGAAGATGAACACGAGGTGTCATCAAACAGTTTCATTTAGATACTTACCTTTTATATATACTTACCCGTTATATACTTACCTATAAGATACTTACCTTTATATACTCACCCGTTACATACTTACCTATAAGATACTTACCTTCCCTGCCGAAAATGATCGATTAAAACGGATTTAAAAAAATGTAATCCGGATCGATCGGGATTTCTGCACCGAAAATGCGGTATTAAAACCGATTGAAAATAGTCAAATCGAATTTAGTACGCTTCAGGCGAGATTAATGTTGGATGATATATCTCCACCTCAATCCGAAATTATACGATTTCATAAAGTTATAATTAAACCTGTTTTAATGCATTTGAATTGGAATTTACCATAGTCAATCCATAGGTAAAAATAATCCCTTTTAATAAAAATTTTTTTCATTTCGCAGATGAAAAGACTCAGTTGTTAAAAACAAATATACGATTTCTCCGCAGAGGGTCCGCCTTATATCCCCGCTTGACCGCTTTCTACTCCCAGGTTGGCTTGCTCAACCTTCGCCGCGTAGCGGCGCCGCTCGGAACTATGCGCGAACGCGCGAGCGCGTGGGCCGCCAAATTGCGGGTCGCACTATTGTATCGCGGATTGTGCTTAATGTGACGACCTACGGCAGCCACAATATCCATTCGATTATTCGTGTTTATTTGGATTGACAACAATATGGATTAGAATGTAATAATTTTAGATTGGAAATAATCCGCGAAAACGATATTAAAACCGATTATAGTTCGTTCGGAACTAAAATCGATTATTTTTTAATCCGGGCGCGGATTGAACCGATTAAAACCGATTAAAACGGATTATGTTTTAATCGGTTTTAATCGACCATTTTCGGCAGGGTTTATATACTTACCCGTTATATACTTACTTATAAGATACTTACCTTTATATACTTACCCGTTACATACTTACCTATAAGATAATTACCTTTTATAGACTTACCCGTTACATACTTACCTATAAGATACTTACTTGTATATACTTACTCATAAGATACTTACGCATAAGACACTTCCATGTAAATACTTACCCAAAAGGTACCAAATATATAATTGCGTAACCATGAGAAAGTCGAAAGCCATGGGGATGAGAACAGCGAAACTCTGTAAAAGGAAAAAGAAGAGTGTAAGAATGCGAATTTGCGGGACACCCGGTATGTAGAAAACATAGCGCGCGAAACGGCGCGACGAGCGGCGCGAACAGCGACGCGCAACCGAAGTGCGCATGCGTGAGAGTGGGGAGTGAAGCGATGTGCGAGACACAGTATATACCATAGACATAGTATATCTAGACCGAGCGTTTGCCTTTATTTAAGGAGTGGGAGTAAATATACGCGTAGAAAAGGACATACTCTGTTTCGTGCCCCTTGCGTTCTCTCTCGCTCGCACAGAGCATAGCGCTCTCTTTCGTCATGCTACGTGCGAGCGAGAGAGAACGCAAGGGGCACGAAACAGAGTATGTCCTTTTCTACGTGGGCATCGGCCCCTACTCCTCAACACTCGGTCTACATATACTATGTCTATGGTCTAGCCCAAGGTGGCACAGTTTGTGATAAATTACACAGTCAATAATTATTAATAAATACGTTTATTTTATAATTCAACTCAGTGATCTTTTATTTCGATTCCGGGACCCGAGGTATATTCTTCCACAGGATCTTCAGGCTTAGCAGCGCTCGGCGTTCCAATTCGAGAAAGATTTCCTTCGACGAGGTGATTGTTCCGGCGAGAGGTGGTCACAACCAGGGAGTCTCGATATTCTCGGCCAACCCAGATCGTGTAGCGCCCGTCGAAGGTAAAAACAGCTGGGGACCGTTTGAAGGACATAAAGTTGCAATTTAATACAAATTAAAGTAAATAATAAGCCGTCACGTCCGGTCACAGCTATATAGTCGCGATATATCGTTCTCGAGGGGAAGAATTTGCATTTTCGGATCTTTTCATCATCCACGGGATCATATCGGCCGTGATACAGTCTTTATTCCATGAGCGCTAGCCCCATAAAGAACACATCATTAATATAGTCTTTCATGTGGCGACCGTGACAGGACTTCGCGATTCTTTTTTGGTAATTTATCGGGAGAGACGCGGGGCGAATCGAGTTTCGATTTCGTGACGATTAATTAGCAAAAGTACGCATTAAAGTGATTTACGCAGCAAGCGATCACGCGGATAATATTTCAGAGGTGCAGCAGCGAAGGCAAAAGCGCGCAAACATATAAAAAGCGGAAATAGGAATCCGGCGTAAATAGAATACCAATAGCGTGAACGCGAAGATTCGGAAAGAAATAAATGCGCGTTATTATACGTCGCGGAAGACTAATAAGTCATAGAGAGCAATAAAGTACGGGATTACTAACGCGAAAGGGCCGATCGAAGGTCTTGCGATATAAAAAACTTTGATTACTCAAAGCGCGGGGCGAATCGGTAGAGAAATCGCACAATTTCCTGTTACTGCTAAAAGAACGCGGGGAAAAGGACCGCAAGAATTTAATAAGATTAGTTTTGGGAGGATCAAAGCTGTAAAAAGCAACTGGGTACGGAAAAACGAAAACGAGAGGGCCGAACAGAGATCTCGCGATAACAAAACTTTGATTAATCAAAGCGCGGGGCGAATCGGTAGAGAAATTGTAAAGTTTTCCAGTAACTCGAAGAAAGCGGGAAAAAGACCGCGAAAGTTTTATAAAAGTCGGGATTTAGCTCGAGACAGAGAGTAAAGTAATGCAAAATCCAAGAAATTTTTTTTTACGAGATGGGAAGGGTAATAGATCAGAAAGCGCGGTAGAAAAGTAGAGAATTTGCCAGAAATTACTCGAAAACGCGAAGTTGATAGAAAAATCGAGTCCTGAACAGGATCGAACGCGTTGGACACGCGAGACGAAAGATAAGAGTCAAAAAGCCGGGGGGACGCGGTGATTGATGGGTGGAGAGATAAGCGAGCTCGGAGCGAGCTTTGAAATATGATACTACTTAGCGAGAGTAGAGGCGGCGCGATTTATACGCGACGCCGAAAAGAAGGAATACTTTTGGGAATATTCTTTAAGAATATTGAGAATATTTCGGTGAAAAATTTGAAATAAATTTATTTTATGTTAAGACTTGTATGTGATTACCATATATATATGGATATTGACTTGATTTTTTGTAGAAAAATGAAATGATGATTGATATATATGTATATGTATAAACTGAGAGTCGAATAAAATATTATTTGAAAATTACATGTATGTTCGGAATTGCGCATTGATTAAATACAAAGAACATTAAATTAAATACGAATAGTATTGATTAAATGCAATTTACAACTGATTATAACAAGTGGAAGTAAAAAAAAGCTTGTAATATTTGAGAAAAAGAGAGAGGAGTATGAAATATTACTAGAAAGTACCAAAGTTACTAGATTCAATTTAAATATAAATTTTAAAGAAAATATATAATTGTGAAGAATTTTATGGTTGAAAAGGATAAAGAAACAGATTAAAAGTAAAGATTAACTTTAAAAAAAAATGCGCACGCGTAATAAGAGCTTATTTACAGGAAAACAGTGGAAGGAAGAAATAAAATACAAATTTACCAAAGAATAGTTGTTTTATTTGACGGAAGTCAAACGATTACCATTCACCCAATAAATCTTATAACAATTGAAGATTTTATGAAATATATGTCATTTGGTGTATAATATCAAAGTTTCTTTCAGCTGACAAGTACAAAGGGACAGGCGAACTGACGAACGTACAAATAATAGTAGATAAAGTAAAAAAAAAGGCGGCGGGAAATTAAAGTAAAGATATTCGCGTAAAAGATGAATAAAGAAAAGCCGACAATGTCGAATCCGAGATCGCCGGGAAAAACAAATAAAAGAACAACTGCGAGCAAAGAGATTAACGTAATTACACAAGTAACAGCGGAGGCAGAGCGGCTAAAAAAGCAAAATAGTAAATTGCGGGAGGAAATAGACGAGTTAAGGCGAAAGTTAGAGGAAATGAGGGCGGATAGAGATGATAGATCGGCTAAAACAGAGCAGGAAGAAATAGAGGCGGAACAGAGAACGCGAAACGCGCGCGAAAGGGGAAATCAAACGCGAGAGGAAGAGCCGATGGCAAATCCAAATAATAGAAAAAACGTCAATATGATAGGAAATGTTAGGCTTCCAAGAGGGGGTTGGTTGACGGATCCATTCGCGGAAATCAGTTATAAAGGAAGGGAGGACGGACAAAATCCGATTAAATTTTTAAAGAGATTCGAAAAAATCGCGGAGTACGAGAATATTGAGAGAAGAGATCAGTTGCACTATTTTAAGAAATGTATGAGAGGCAACGCGAGTAATTGGGTAGAAGTAAGTGATCCGGAAAGTATAGAGGAGGCAAAAGAATCGTTCCGAGAATATTTCTGGGGGGACGAACAACAAGCAAGATTCCGGGAGAATTTATACACGGGAAAATTTAAATCCGAGAAAGGAGAATCGATGGCCGAATATATAATGAATTTAGCTAGGCAAGCGAAATTTTTAGATCCGCCGATGAGCGATCACGAAATAATAAGAAGCGTGAAAAAACATTTCAGTAGCGAGATAATGCGGGAGATACGACCGTCAACGGTAAAAACAATCAACGAGTTAACAACGCTGTTAGACGAAATAGTATACGAAAAGAGATTGCTTAGACAAACTAGAAGACAAAACGCGGAGGATAGCCAGACAAACGCGAGAAAACCGTACGAAATAAAGCAGAGGACAAGGATATATACCGAGATAGCGAACCGAGAAAAAGTTACGACCAATATCAAAGATACGGGCCGGAAAAGCGATATGAAAATTTCGCGGCAGGGAATCAGAGAAGGAGATGGCCGGAGGAGAATAGAGGAAATAGGCAGGCATCGGTACGGATTACAGAGTTACCGAATAACGAGGAGAAGGCCGAAAATAAAAGAATAGTAAGGTATAGCCGAGACGCGGATAGAAGCCGACAGGGAGTCGATAGACCGACAACGAAAACTCAGGTCGCGAAGAAACACGTAACAGCGGTAAACGTAAAGCAAAAGAGAGAGTCGGACGAAGAAAATTCGAGCGAAGAGGAGAATAGTGACGCGACATCGCAAGAGAGGGAAATCGAAAACGAATCTTCGATCGCGAGCATGCGGACGGAGGAAATTTTAAAAGAAGTAGAGGAGGTGTTCTATGAAGATCAGGAAAAGATTAAAACACAAAAGGGACCGTTCGTAACAGCGGTATTTAACAAACAGAATATTAGATGCCTAATCGATACGGGGGCACAGGTGTCAGCGATGAGTAAAGAGACATATGATCAATTAAGACAAGACGGGATTAAAATGGAAATTCAACCGGTGGAGAAAATACAGTTAATAGGAGCATTTTCAAAGAAAACGATAAAGATTCTATTCAAGACAGTAATAGAGTTCAGAATTGAAAGGGCAAGATTTGAGCAGGAGATATTAGTGGTACATAAATTAATACACGATATCGTACTAGGAATGGACTTCATATGCGGCCATAACGCGTCGATACAATGCGGGGAAGACGGTATCGAAGTCGAGCTTGAATCTGAAGATCAAAACGTAATATTGATAAACGCGATAATGATCGAACAGGAAGTTCCGGATATAACGAATTGTAGCGCGGAAGAGATGGACCCGTTTTTCGGGATATTGAATATAACGGAAGAGATAGAGGACGGGGAAGAGCCGTTATTCACACAGAAAGAGATAGTTGAAGTCTTTCTGAGTGACAAAGGAAATTCGGAAGAAGAAAATCGTAGCACGAGGAATAGGGAAACGGGAGAGAAAGGCGAACAGACGAAAGAAAGATTACTGGAGAAAATCGCGGAGGAAGAGATAGGTAAGAACGTGGCGATGCTAAACATACATGGACCGTTTTTCGGGGCAAAGACAGAACAAAAATACGCGTTAACAATGACCGATATTCGAAGTCAGGCAAAAAAGACATACTATATGCCGGATAAGAGACTAAAAACATTAACGGACATAATCGCGAACAAATATTTAAAAACGGAACGAAACCCGAAGGTAATAATAACAGACAGGCAAGGACAGTTCAGAAATGACAAATGGAAAATATTTTGCGGAAAGGTGGGAATAAGAACACGAACACTTAATTCTACAGCAAATCCAACGGTGAATACAGCGAAGAGTCCAGCAGGGAAGAACAGATACGAGATAGACCTGCGGGAGGAAGAACAGAATATAATAACGGAAAATAAAATAATTCAGGAAATGAAAAGACAATTAGAGACGATACAGATGAGAATACCAAAGAAAGTAGAGATTACCACAAGCCCAGTGTTACAGGGGACGAGAATCAGGTCAACAGAAAAACGAGACAATCCAAAGGTCTGCAGTGAGGGAGATAGCGAGGAGGAAATCCAGTCAAGAAGGGGGAGTGAGAACAGCAACACAATCAAGGAATCTGAAAATAAAAGAAAAACACACAAAGAACCAAGGACAAAACGTAAGAAAGAATCTTAAAGCAGCCCAGATATATCGAGAAGGGGATAAGGGTCAGCGAAGATCCAACGATGACAGCAGAAAATCTAAAACAAAGAGAGAATAGAAGGGGGAGCGCCTTAAGAGAGAAAGAAAATGAAAATATACTTTCCGATGCAAAGCAAAGAAGGGGGAGCGAGCCAGCAGAAGAGTTGAGGAAATCCAGAGATGGGAGAAGCCAAACAGATGACACACCGGGAAAAGAACCTGTAAAAAAAAGAAGGATAAATCAAGAGGCGTTCGAGTTGATGTTAAGAGCAAAGGACATACTGAACGAGAGAGTCCCAGCAAAAAAGATGCTTGCGAGGATGCAGGGAAGCAAATGCAAAGTATACTTAGATGAAGGAGGACAATGCGACATCAAAACAACGACATGCAAGGAAAGGTTGGACAAAGAAAACGTAGAGATGGAGGAGATTATAGAAAGAGAATTAATACCAGGATGTATTAAAGAAATGGAAGACATCAGAGTAAGAATGGTGAAAATAAAGACTACCATAGATGAAAAGGAGATCGAAATACACCCTATCGTGTTATTTGGAAGGAATGATGCGATGATATTGGGGAGAGAGTCGAAGGCAAAACTTACACTGTTGCAGAAATCATGGAGAGAACAGAGACTTCCATTTGAGAGGAGCGACGAGCACATACAGCTTCCAGAGATGACAGCAGATGACCGAGAGGAACAGGATGAGGCCATGGGCACGGTACGAGGACCAAAGACCGCCAAATACGCTTCAATGTCCAAGTATTATAATAAACTGAAAATAGAAAAAATAGAATCGGACACACTTGACGACACTGACAAAGACAGTATAAATTACAAAGGAGAAGCGACATTGAAGGAAAAGAACAGAGACGACAGAGAGAGAAAGACAGAGACAATAGTACAGACATAGACATAGTATATCTAGACCGAGTGTTGAGGAGTGGGGGCCGATGCAGTGATGCCAGAATGCCCACGCTAGCAACATGCAACCGTAGTAGAGGGGATACGCACACAAGCGAAAACCGTGTATCAAAAAATCGCAAAACGCTCTGCGCATTACATGTACACGGTTTTCGCTTGTGTGCGTATCCCCTCCACTACGGTTGCGTGTTGCTAGCGTGGGCATTCTGGCATCACTGGATATACTATGTCTATGAGTACAGACATGCAAATAAATAAAACAATTATGAACGACAGTAGCAGAGAGAAGCCTGAGAGAGGCAATGCCGGCGATTTTCGTGGGACGCTTTTTCTAGGCCGTAGAGCAGCGCCGTGCATCCACTTTTAGGAATTGGAAACACTTACCCACATCCACTTTTCGGTACTGTCGGTCAAATCTCCATATGGTTCATGTCCGTGCTACATCCACTTTTCGATATTGTCGTTCATTTGGTTCATATCCTTGCTACGTCCACTTCTCGATCTTTTTGATAGTGGTAGTACACTGATCGCTTGACAAAGAGAGATGATTGCGCCGTCTTTGTCTCTCTTTCATCGCGTATGTGTGTAGTATTTGTGAAGGCGCAAACACCGATACGTTGAGCACACGGATGCGATCGTTGAGAGATAAATCTAGACAAGGAGCGACAATCGCGTGCTGTCTTTGTTTTTCTAACGTATCGCTTTACGGTCGAGATACAACCTGAAAATGCTTTCTGGCCTCTCGTGGCAGAAAGCAGAAATGCAACAAGATTAACGGGCGCCTATTTTTTGAGAAGTTTATATTTGTATATATACATATGTGCATATATATGTTTAAATTATAGTTAAAATTATACGTGCAATTAAATATTGTATGTTGATCAATCATAATAGTAGAATAATAGGTAACAGAGTGAACAAATACACAAGATGTAAGACAAAGGGTGCCTGTTAGACCGGATTCACACCGGCAGAAAAGCAGAAAGCAGAAAAGCAGAGGCCAATCAGTTCTCGCGCTAAAAAAAACAGAATGTACTGCTTATTTTCAGCGCGAGTTCTGATTGGCTTCTGCTTTTCTAGCACGAGTTCTGATTGGCTTCTGCTTTTCTACTTTCTGCTTTTCTGCCAAGGTGTGAATTCCACCAAAAGAATATTTAAAAATGTTTATTTTTAAAAAACGTTTTCTCTCTTTGCTATAAATCAAGTTTACAAAAAATTTTATTTGAGTACTTTTTTATTTAACTTATACTTTTTATAATTTTTTCATGTTATCCATCGATCTTTTTTAAGGACATGACTTAATCTTTGTATATCATTCACTCTTTATTTTAAGGGTATCTCTTCGTAACGAAAACATGACTTTCTCAAAATAAAGATTGTAACGGCAGGGCCGTTACTACGGCCATTGTATATAGCCGACCGTTGTATAGAGCCGTGAAAATATACATATATATACACCTGGCCTGCTTATTAACCCAGCTCTACCTATCCTGCCCGCCGCCATCTTGCTTAACGCATGCGTGTTCGCTCTCGGCATGCGCTCTTGCTCACCAGCACGCGCTATCCCGCTCAACATGCACTCTCGCTCACCGACCCGCGCTATCTCTCTCGCGGGGTCCCCACGCGGTACCGACCCCCACCGCCGGACCGACAACGCGTAGTGGGGATGCTGGCCGGGTATATAAGCCCGGCCGGCCGAGACATCGGGACCAGATCCCATCCTGCGATCCGACTCCAGACACCAACCTGCCTAATACCTACTGCCTCTCGGGGACGAGGTTTCTCTCGTCTCTGCCGGGTTTCGCCGGCTCTCTCTACCTTCGGGCTGAGGTTTCGCTCAGCCCCGTCGGGTTTCGCCGACTCCTGTCACCACTCCTCGGGCCAAGGTTTCTCTTGGCCCTGTCGGGTTTCGCCGGCTCCTAACACCTACCCGGGCTGAGGTTTCGCTCAGCCCTGCCGGGTTTCGCCGGTTTCCGTTGCCAAGGTAGGCCCGACGTGACACTCGGTACTACCCGCAATACCTCACCACCTAACCTAACCAATAGGATATAAGGTGCATGTAAATACCGCGTTGTACATAGTAGCCGCATGATAGAGATAAGCCTGATAGTAATAAGACCGAGTACCATTAAGTCCGCTAGTTATAAAACCTGTTAGTCATAAGATCTGCTTAGTCATAAGTCCGCTAGCCATAACCACTCTAGTAATAAGCCCGCTAGTTATAACCGCACGTTAGTACTAAGACCTGCCAAGTAATAAGTCCACTAGTTCTAATCGCGCCGTCAGCGCATGTAAATAAAACCGTCAACGCCTGCCTGCCGCGCCTGGCTTTCGCTTCTCGCGGCTTTGCGCCCTTCGCTTCGCGCCTGCGCACTGCGCTCCGCAGATCCTGCTACCAGCGACCGCATTCACCGCACGCTATCGCCAGACCCTGCACACTGTATCTATCTTTCTCTAACTGAATAAACTATTTCTTTGTACCTATACTGTGTCTCGTAAGCTTGAGTCTCCCCTTCTCTCGAAATTAAACTGTTAAATACATATATTATCCTGCAATAAATAGAGAAATAATGACTGAATTTGAACATGTCTCGATCGTTTGAACATGTCTCGATTGAACACAATTGAATACGATTTATATGTGAAAAATCCTAAATACCGGACACTATCTGCCAATTGTGCACCTCCAGAAAAAAATTTTTTATTTTTAATTTTATTTGTTTTCGTTGCAAAGAGATACACTTAAAATAAAAAGTGGATGATATACAAAGATTAAGAAAGATAAAAAAACAACATTATATCATTTTATATAAATATTTAAAAGGTGTAAAAAATATTTAAAAAGAATAAAAAATTCTTTAAGTTAATTAAAACTTACTTGTTACATTTCTTCTTCTTACACGGTGAAGTTTCATCAGCATCTTGAATCGGAACGTAATAATTCATGAGGCTTCCTTCAGTAGGATACATTTTATATGAACCTTTCACACAAATGCGTTGGACATTTCGCGTGGATCAAGAATCTATCCCGCCTCGTGAGCTCGCAATTGAGCAAAAAGGAACACAAGAAACATATCTGCGATCGGTACGTATATATTTAATAAATTATATTGCAGAAACCTAAAAAAAATTAAAAATTATTTCTTTTACAGATGTTTGCACTACTTTGGCTCGAACGACAAGTTACAGTCACATACGGTGGACTGTCGAGAGATGAACGAGTGCGCTATCCGATTACCGAGCGATAAGGACAAGTGGCTCACATTCAACAACTATAATCGGAAAGAGCGGCTTTCTTCCGTTTGATAGCTGTTCAAAGCTGTTCAATAGCCGTTTGATAACCGTTTAATAGTGGTTTACATATTATAATAATACGTTCATATTTAAAAGACTTTAAATAGTTGTCCGCGGGAACATGCTAACTTTTGTCTTCTTATCAAGTGTAGAAGGTAAGCGTTCTTTGTAAGTGATACATCCCCTACTCTAAAATGTTCGAGACAGTGTCTATCCCGTTGTGTCCGTCACAGTGTTTGACAGCGAATAAAGAACAGCGTGTGACGAGAAGTTCTTAAGTTTTGTAAAGAGAAGTGTTAAACTATTTAAACATGTCTGAAAATTGTACCTGCACATACATATATGTTATGCTGCCGCATTATCGGGTAAGTAGAATGTTCAATGTTTCTGTGATATATTTTGTCTATTTATGGTATTAATTAATAACATATTTCAGTTTATTGAAGAAACTCGGTTTCTGAATATCCTGGACCGGCGATACACGCGGTGGTTGCG